GCCGAGTTCGAATTCCAGTTGAATCCATTACATTCACTTACATACTAATACCCTTGGAAAAGGTATTAATCCTCTTCTCCCTCCAGCTATGGGTAAAATAGCAGGACAGACTGGGTTCTATAGCCTTGGATGGCAACTGGTCTACTGCAGAACAAAATGTCTACCTACTGCAGGAGAAAATCATAATAATTCATCTTAGAGATATAGACAGATATATAGAGAGACATAGACCAAAAGTCCAGAGTGTACAATAGCTGAAATGTTGTGAATATGACAATGAAGATGAGGATACCAGTCCAAATAACGTAAATAATACAAGTAATCATAATACCTCATCTTAGAGATATAGACAGATATATAGAGAGACATAGACATAAAGGCCGGAGTGTACAACGGCCGAAACGTTGTGAATATGGCAATGAAGATGAGGATAACAGTCCAAATAATGTATATAATGCAAATAATCATAAATAAAATCGTTTTTAAAGCATTTTTTTTTTAAATTTAGTAGAAATATTTTTAGGCTTGTCCTCAAATTATAATATCTGTATACACACACAATTTGAAATTAAATTGTAATGAAAATCTGTCTTGTAAGAGCTAATAACACTTTCTGACAGAAACTCTTGGGTAACAGGAAAAGAGTATAATGTAAACTCATTTTTATGACTCCTTCTATCTTTAAAACATATCTTTTCTAATAAATGTATTTTAAATGAACAAACAATTTAGATTTGAAATCACTGGCTGTTAGTGAAGTAAACAATAAGATTAAATAGTCTTGCTTATCAACCAGTTCGCACTCCTCTCCAGTCCTTTGAACAGGAGTAGAGGTTTATCCCTTGTTTCCTGTTTAGGATTGGGTTTCCAATTCTTTTTTTAAATCCTTTCATTCTCTTTCTCTCCCAGTAACAACTTAACTAGGCATAAAGTGTGTAAATCTGTCCATTTCTTCTTGGTCTTTTGAACAGGAGTAGAGGTTTATCCCTTGTTTCCTGTTTAGGATTGGGTTTCCAGTTCCTTCTAAAGTCTTTTCCTTTTTTCCACTTCTGGGGGCTCCTTACATTTTGGTGGCATTGTCACCTTGCTTGGGGTAGTCTTTCTCATTCTGTAACCCTCTACCTTGACTGGCTCTTAGGCCTTGTACAGGGGAAACATCATTATAAAGAAATTTGTCATTTGAAGTTAATCAACTTACAATAAAATTATTTCAGGTGATTATTTTTTCATTTTTTTTTTTTTTTTTAAGTAACACACATTTTACTGTATATACTCATGTAACACATGGTCTCATGTATGATACAGCCCCCAAATTTTCACTTATAATGTTATACTCACTACGTAAACACGTACAGCCATAAACAACCGAACAAGAAACAGTTAAACATCTTAGAAATGTAAACAATGAAAAAGATGCATATTCGCTATGTTTGTATTTTATAATACAATACTAATATGTGAATATTACATGCATTGTTATTGGATACAGTTTATGTAAATAATGGAAAAGGTTCGTATTCGCTATGTTTGTATTTTATAATACGGTAATAATATGTGACTATTACATGCATTATTATTGGATAGTTAAGTGAAACATCAGTTTTATCAAAATGATGTTTATTTTAAATACAACTGTAAATTTTGACTACAGTAAATGCATATACACTTTGCTTAACGGCATAGCCGTGGTCAGCAGTACATACGCTTATTTTATATCTCATGTATGATGTGACCCTCTTAAAATTAGCTACTAAATTAGGTTTTCAAAAGTTGCATTATACATGAGTATATACGGTATATATACCAAACCAACCTATAGAGAATTTTTTTTGGAAGTTACTTCAATCCTGTCTAGATTATAGAAATGGGTAGTATATACAGTGGCCAAGAAATGGGGGACATGTTTAATACTAAAGAACAATACAGAACTGATCCCTTACTTTCTAATATCCTTTCATGTGATTATGTATAAGGAAGTTTTGGAATTTCATCTATGGATCTACCATGGCCAGGAAATGGGAGATCTGTTTAATACTAAAGAACAATACAAAATTGATCACCCACTTTTTACCATCTCTTCCTTTGATTATCTATAAGGATTTCTTTTAATTACCATATATATTCGTGTATCATACAACTTTTGAAGTCCTAATTTTGAAGTCAATTTGACTACAGTAATTGGATATATAGTTTGGTCAGTGGTGTAGCCATGGCCAGCAGTACATATGCTAATATATCTTGTGTATGATATGACCCCCTGAAAATTAGCTTCAAATTAGTTGCATGGTTCGCAAGTATATGATGTAATTAGAATTTAACTGGTTATCTCCCTTTGGTCTTATTTGATTAATTACTTCAGATTGCTCTATCATAACATCTGTATTTGGCTAACTAGTTGACTTTTATAATAGTTTTGTAAGATAAAACCGATAAGAATAATATAAAATTATTCATGCAGATATTGTCAATTTTCAAAAAGGTAAAAATAGTTAAATGAAGTCAAGATACAGGTTGGAGAAAAAGTTATCGGATGAATCCAGCGAGGGAGAAAAAAAAAATGTAACCTTGATAGCATTCTCCTATCGATAAAACTAATTGAACTAAAAGAAAATTGAAAAAAGAATCAAAAAAAAGAGATTGTGTGTTGGGTTTGAGAAACTGAAATGTTGTCATAAAACTTGTTCGTTGATGAGATAACTGATAAGAAAGAAGTTTATTGGATTTCTTAGTTCGGCAACTGTAAGGCATTTCTTCTATTTAAAAACAGAACGTTCTCATTATCAGGATGTTCCATAATCGGCTGTCAAAAGGGAACGATGGCATTATTCACTCAGACGTGAATACATTTTCAGAACGGTGACTCGATTTGAGAGGATATAGAGCAGGCAGGTCTACAGGTGACAGCGAGGAGATGCAGAGGAGGGGTGGGAGAATTCTTGAAATTGAGCAAGTGTATGGTGATGAAGAAGTGTGCGGATAGAAGGAAAAAGTAAATAAATTTAAAAATAAAAAGCAAGATGTCATCTACCTAGAAACATTTAAGAAATGAGAGAGAGGAAAAAAAAAAAAGATTAAAAAGAAACCTTTAGATATAAAATGGAATTATCTCCCTGGATGATTATTAAAGCTTATATAGGTCAAGATAAAGAGATTGATTGATCCCCCACTTTATATCCACATTATAATTTCTTTGTTGATGAGCCATAGAAAAGAAACCAATCAATCAATGAAATAATAATTAGCTACACAGGCATGACTTTCAGATTTATTTAGTCTCTGGAATGTAAACGTATAGAAACTACACTGGTCAAAAAGTGAGGGATCAGTTTATATATTGATTGTTATGTAAAATTGATCCCCCACTTTATATCCACATTATAATTTCTTGTTTGCTGATAAGCCATGGAAAACGAACCAATCAATCAAGGAAATACTGATTAGTTACAAAGCCATGTCTTTTACATTTATTTACAATCTCTGGAATATGAATGTATAGAAACTACTCTGGCCACAAAGTGAAGGATCAGTTTACATATTGATTATGTAGAATTGATCCCCCACTTTATATCCACATTATAATTTCTTCTTTTTTTGTAAGCTGTAAAAAATGAACCGATCAAACAATGAAATACTGATTAGCTACACAGGCATGTCTTTTAGATTTATTTGCAATCTCTGGAATATAAATGTTTTGAAACTATTGTGGCCACAAAGTGGCTTTAAATAACCAGCAAAGGGTTGATAACCTGTAAAACACCAATCAAACAAACAAGAGTAGTAATAGCTAGCCACTTATATCCATGTATGCCTGTCTACTAAAGCGGCTAGCTAATCCCTGTGGTAGAAACCTGCCCAGGCACATTTGTGTTTGTTCAACACCCACAGATGCCCCTGTCATTTACATTGCAACTATGCTGGGCAAACCTTAGTTACAATTTCTGGAAAAGAGCACATTATCTGGTGTTATGAACAGTCTAAAAAAGGCCAGTACACTCAAACCCTCAGTCACGATGACTTGTGACATTGTGCTAGCATAACCATTGACAGCTTCCGAAGGGTTCCGTCTACCCAATTTCACTCACATGGCTTGGGTCAACTGTGGTATGGTTTCCCAGTACTTTCCAAAGGTGCCACACACTAGGATCACCTCCCCAGGCTTATACTATGAAAAAATCACCTTCCTGATAAATTGACCATCATGAGATTCAAAAGTGGGAGTCATATTTGGAGAACAAACAGTCTAACCACTCGTCCAAGTGCCCATGTATCAAAGAAGGGTACCTGGGGAGGAAATAGGCATTATCAAGTACCCCTCAGTTCTCTGCACGTCTTCTAAAATGGTTTTATACAACATGTCATACCAATAATTAAATAAGCCAAAAATTCTAAACTAAGACCAAATCGGGATGTAACTCGTTGTTTCTGTGACATCAGGATTTTGGCAAGACTGAATAAGAGATATCCAGTTCCCTTAACAATTCCACCTCCCTATAGAATTATGGTTGCTTTCCAGTAAGGAGAGCCTCCAGTTGTAAAGATATATTTGAAAGTATTCATTGCAAATGAATAGCTGGCATGTGCATGTTTAAGGGCATCTCGCTATGAAATTTCGATTTATCAATTGCTATCTTCGATACAATGAAGGCAAGCACTGGTTTGTGATAAGAGGAAAATACTGATGATGATCATCGAAGCAATTCACTTCAGATGTCCTTGTCGTTATTTGATAGCCTGCCCAATTACTTGTAGGCCCTTGCCTGTGTTAGGGCTTCTTTTTCAACAATGGCATTCGCCTACCATTTTATTCAAATGAAGTTGTTGTTAAGAGTCCCCTACCGTGAGCCCATACGAGAATACGTTAATAAAATTCTTATAATGCATGCATCGTAATTCTTGCTGAACTGAAGCTGTGCATGGTCTTGGATTGGTCTGCGGTCACTTAAGAAAATGCTGTTAGCAAATAAAAATTATGGCAGTTATTTTCCTGCGGCTGGATTCAGATGGTTTCAATTGTTAGGTGTGGGGTCAGGTCTTTTATTTCTTTTTTGGCTTTTCCCTTTTTCTTTCTTTTCCATTTTTTCCTTTTTTCTCTTTACCCCTTTTTCTTCTTTCTTTTACTGCTTTTTTCTTTCTTTCCATTTTTCTTTCTTCCATTTTTCTTTCTTTTTTCTTTTCCTATTTTCTTTCTTTTTCCTTCACTTTTGCCTTTCCTTTTTTCTTTCTTTTTCTTTTCTTTGCCTTTTTCTTTTTCCTCTTTTCCTTTTTCTTTTTTCTTTCCTATGGCTTCTTCTTTCTATTGCCTCCCTTTCTTTTGTGTTTCTCTCTTTTTCTTTTTTCTTTCTTTTGCCCTTTCTATTTTCTTTTCCTCTTTTTTCTTTTTCTTTTTCTCTCTCACTTTTCCATTAATTTCCCATTTTTTCTCCATTTTTCTTTCATTTTCTTTCTTTTACTTTTCCACCTTTTTCTTTTCCGTTTTTCTGTCTTTTTCTTTTTCCTTTCCTTTTCGGATTTTTTCTTTTTTCTTTTTTTTTCCCATTTTACTTCCTTCTTTTTCCCATTTTCTTCTTTTTCCTTTACTTTTCCTTTTCCTCTCTCTCTTTCTTTTCCTTTTCCTCTCTCTCTCTTTCTTTTCCTTTTCCTCTCTCTCTCTCTCTTTCTTTTCCTTTTCCTCTCTCTCTCTCTCTTTTCCTTTTCCTCTCTCTCTTTTCCTTTTCCTCTCTCTCTTTTCCTTTTCCTCTCTCTCTTTTCCTTTTCCTCTCTCTCTTTTCCTTTTCCTCTCTCTCTTTCCCTTTTCCTCTCTTTTCGTTTTCCTCTCTTTCTTTTACCCTCTTTCTTTTTCTTTTTCCTCTCTCTCTTTCTTTTTCTTTTTCCTCTCTCTCTTTCTTTTCCTTTCCTCTCTCTCTCTCTTTTCCTTTCCCCTCTTTCTTTCTTTTCCTTTTCCTCTCTCTCTCTCTCTCTCTTTTACCCTCTCTCTTTTCCTTTTCCTCTCTCTCTTTTCCTTTTCCCCTCTTTTTTTCCTTTTCTTTTTTCTTTCCTATGGTTTCTTTGTTTTTCCCTTTTTCTAAAACAACTAAAACAACGATAACAGATTGAATAAATCAGTGTATAATAATGAAAATAATAATTCCTGATCTGAGAAATTCAAATGGAAATAAGTTTCTAAATGCTGTATCTTTCAAAGTGAAGAAGTGAACACTTGTTTGGACAAGTCAATGTCTAATAATGTTAATTACATGCCTCTGACATGAGTTCTTGCTTTCAACCAAGCAATATCTTAGAATAAATGATCTTACTCTCGACGTCAACTAAATCCACTTTTGTTTGATGAGAATGTCACTGATTTCAATTAACGAGCAGGCATTTCTTTCTATTGTGAGGTTGAACTTTCATCTGAATTAAAATAAGCAGTGTCTATTCATTGTCCTGACAAAGTAATGAACTGTGTGCAGATAGCATAACAGTTTTCATGGCCCTCCACAACTTCCTATACTTTGAGGGTGAACACATCCAAACCAAAACTGCTCTGATTTAACCACTGCACAGAAACTTTTCTGCATGGTTGCTTTGAGATTTCTGGTGAGCAACACACTGTGCCTTCTCGGCCTCAAGCTGCATCTACTGCAAGGAAAGTTGGTTCCTTGTGTTGTGCCAGAAGGTTTTTCTCGTCAGAGTCCGTCTTGCACATTTACAAATCTATCATTTATCCATGCATTGAATACTGTTGCCATATCTGGTCTGGTGCCCCTGCTATTCATCTCGAGGTTCTTGACAAAATCCAAAGAAGGATCTCCAATGTAATCGGTCTTGACTTGGCATCTCGACATCAGTCACTCTCAGCCTTTTCTTTCTACAGTAGACCAGTTGCCATCCAAGACTATAGAACCCGGTTTGCCCTGCTATTTACCCATATCTGGTGGGAGAAGAATAGGATTTATACATTTCCTAAGCGTATTAGCATGTAAGTGAATGTAATGCATCTGACTGGAATTAGAACTCGGCTCTCCGATTCCTCAATCTGATTCTATGGTTGATCTGTTGCCATCCAAAGGCTATAGAACCTGGTCTGTCTTACTTTTTACCCATAGCTGAAGGGAGAGGAATAGGATTTATATCTTTTCTAAGGTTATTAGCATATAAGTGAATGTAATGGATTCAACTGGAATTTGAACTCGGTTCTGCGATTCCTGAATCCGAGCCGCTATCCATTATTCCACTATACCTCCTCCCTGATAACTACAATCTCCAAAAATTTAAATGCAATGTCAATTGCCATCTATCTTCTTCAATCCCATTTTTCGTCCTTTCCTCAATCCTCTGCATACTCAGTCTTTTCTCTCACTTACTGCATACTAGTGGCACTCTCGCCATGCATAGGGTGAAATTATTTAAAAAGAAAGAAAAATTAGCAATGTTTGTCTTTTCATTATCTCTCCCTGTCTTTGTTCTGCTATTTATTTCCTCCAGCTCATCACGTAAATTGATTCTAATGTAGTGCGGGTC